TTTCGCCTCTCTCTGTACCCTGTCATCCTGGAGTAAGTAGAAACACAACTTAACAAATTATTTAGTTTTTATACCATTCCTCTCTAAATGGAAAATGAAATATTAAGGTTTTCTAAATTTGTTGGTGATAAATAATCCATAATTTTTTAACAAGTAATAAATAAATGTCTGATATTATAATTTCCCCTCAGTCAGTGTCTTAAGTTTTAAGTTCTAAGAAGTGAGACTAATTTAGATTTTGAATGAAGAGGTTATATCGATTTAAGGGTTTTGAAATGCTAGATATAAAAGAAAACAAAGTATTGTCATGACGTCTTTATTTCTGATGTGCAATCACTACTTGATATTGTTATTTTCTTTATGACAAAAATCATTATAATGTATTTAGAAGTATGTCTATGTCTGTGTAGGTTCTCAGTCATCTAGGTCATAGTAATCTAAGGACATGGAAAGAAAAGCAGCTGAACTTCTTTACGTTTCTTGAAGTCATCAGAAAGAGTTCTTAGCACCGAAGAAGCTTCTCTGATGAGAGGTGAAACATCTTCAAGAAACTTAAAGAAGTTCAGTTGCTTTTCTTACCATGCTCCTTGGAAACATGACTACATACTGGATTTTGTACCCAAACCTGATGCATTTAGCTTTAACTTTAGAAATCATGCAATATGTATGTCTTGTGATGACTTACAATATTATGTTCCACTCTGTCTCTTACAGGTGTTTCATCAAGCACATTTGTTGTGACACAGAGTCCTGATGTTTCTGTCAGGGTGGGAGAGACAGTAAACATCACCTGCTGCTGGCCAGGGAAATTTGAAAGAGTTGGAGTGAACTGGCTGAAAAATCAAACAGTAATTAAGAAAGAGACCAACTTGAATCAATCTCAAGAAAAGAGATGTTCATCTTTGAATATCTCAAATATCAGAACAGAGCATTCAGGGACGTACATCTGCAAGGTGACTGTGGAGATACCATCTTTAACTGAGGCTAAAGGAAATGGGACAGTCATCACAGTCAAGACAGTCAACGATACTGGGAACAACTGGCAAAGTGCACAAGGTTCAGTATGGTGACATGTTCAAATCCCTTTTTACGAGTGTAGTTGATATTTAATCCATATCAACTGTAGACTGAAATCAACTGTACTGTCACTGTCATTTTAGGTGGCTTGGTAGTCTTAACAGACAATTAATACAGTTTTTATCCCTCTTTTTTTTTTTTTTTTTTAAATATTACACAACATTTTACCATGATAGTACCAGAAGGCATTGCATTTTTACATTAGATAGATCTATGTAATTATTATTATAATATTATTACAAATTTAACAAATTCTTTAGATCCTGGGAATCCAACCAAACCAACCAACGTGATCATTTCCCTGGCTGTAGTGGTTCCTTTGCTCCTCATCACACTCATCTGTTACTGCACTCTGCGAAGAAAACAAGGTACCAACTTTAAATTAATACTAAAGCATCAGAGACACAGTTATGAGTGGTGGACTGAACAAAAATATTTCTTTGTTACTTGTGTTTTTGTCTATCCATAAAGTACACGTTGTATTTAACTCTTTTAACCAAAGAACATGAAACAGGTATCACACACAGGAACACAGGTTCATTTTAAACAATAAACAAAATAATCACTTGACTATAAATGTGTAGTTGTTTTATGATGAGATAGTTCTCTGTGATATACCTCAACCACTGTACCTTGACATTATTACTGGACTATATTGGAGCCAATTCAAACAAGTTAGGAGCTAATATTTCCATATACGTAATAAAAAGTTGGAGCAGGAAATGCCCGAGGATTTTAAAATAAACTGTGTGAGTTTCTGTACATGCTGTATGAACAGCATTCATTTAGTACCTTCTGCAGTCTGCATTTTTTACATAGAGGATCATGCAAAACTATTCCTGAAAAATAAAAGTTCCAAACAACCTGCATCAAAAAGCCTTGAAATTAGGACTCGTAAAGTGGAGGCTGACACTTTCCTCACTAATACATTTGCACAACTGTCAGTTTGCATGGCAGCAAAGTTTAAATGTTGTGGTAAAACCGGTGAAAGAAAAATAGTAACTGAGCCACAAGATTTTGTACTTAAGATTAAACTAAAACCAGGTGTGAACAAACACGTCTGTTAACTGAAACAAAATAAAACTAGACTTTAAAAAAAGTACTAACTGAAACTATAGTGTACACTCACGAACTAGTAAGTAAAAAATAAATTAAATAAAAAA